AAGGTTGTGAAGGCTAGGACTATAACAGGGTTTAAAAGAGAACTGGATAAATTCATGGGGGGTAAGTCCATTAATGGCTATTAGCCAGGACAGGTAAGGAAGGGTGTCCCTAGTCTCTGTCTGTCAGAGGATGGAGATGGATGGCAGGAGAGAGATCACTTGATCATTGCCTGTTAGGTTCACTCCCTCTGGGGCACCTGGCATTGGCCACTGTCGGTAGACAGGATACTGGGCTAGATGGACCTTTGGTCTGACCCGGTACGGCCTTTCTTATGTTCTTATGTAATGATCTTCCCATTAGACTCTGGGAAAGTATGGAGGGAGTTGTGAATGGTGCTAACTACATATTAGCCATTTGTTATTAGTTAACTAGCCTTATTTTTTTAAAGGGAATATTACATGCTGTTTCCCTGGGAAAATGGGTCCCTCTAGTCTCCACTCCAAATGCCCCATATTAATAACCTTTACATGTTAGCAACTACACTAACAAATACAGGGCCACAAGTCACTGTTTCTATGCACCTCGTGCGATTGATTCACCAAACCAGAGGCTGGCAGAATGGCACCGTTTGCACCAGTGCCAATGACTCCACAACATACAAGTCAGCAGTCAGGGCTTGTCTACGCATGCGGTGCTGCCAGAGCTCTTAGCAGACAGGAGAGCTTCTCCCGCCCGCGTCGGAACTCCACCGCCCCCCGAGGCCGGACTAGAGCTGTGTGGAGGAGAGAAGCGCTGTCTACAGCAGGAGCGGCGTCGCTCAGGGGTCTCCTCTATTCCCGCACAGCTCTAGGCACAAGTCTGTAGTGCAGACCCCAGCCCAACTCCGGAGCGAGAACTGCTGAGCCAGGGCTGCGTCTCTCACTCTCGCTGGCCAAGACCTGCCCGGGAGGACGCATCAGGATATCGTGACCAGTGCCCTAGGCTGCTCCTGACCTACACTGAACAGCGGATACCGACCCAGGGCACCTTCTTCCCCTCGTGGGCCTTCAGGGAGAGCACTGGTGAGCCCGGTTATCGCCCCGCAGGGCCGACCCAGCCGGGAGCAGGAGGAGCCGGGCTCTACGCGCACCATCGCCCCGCAGGGCCAACCCGGGGTGTGTGTGTGGGGGGGTGGGAGACATACTCTGTG